AGTGGGCAGGCGGCTAACAGCCCAGAACCGGTCCTTGATAGAATTGGAATCTTTATATGTGTGCAGCTTTCACCCAAGGTCGTAGGCTTCCACCGGCTAAACGGGGTGAGGTTGGTGCTCTGTAAAGCGCATGCGCAAATCTTGCTTTTCGTAATCTGAAAATACAGGAGATTACACTCCGTCACTAATATTCTAATATACAATAGCAATTTTTTTTTTTCCACGTGTAGTATAGAAATTTGTAATAAGATACATAATGCGGTTATAATAACATATTGTGCGATTATTTTCATATAATTAAAATTAATATTTATTTATTTTTTAGAGAATACGAGGGAAGCGGCGCTTCCAACGCTTCTAATGACGGCACGCCACTGCTTGGCTAAAGTAAATTATTTATCTAACTGTTATGAAAATGTCAACAAACGATTTTAATTAATTTATAAAATTTTAAAAATCATTCCGAATTTAAATATTGTACGATTAATTTATCTAAAAGCATTTTTTAAAATTAAGAATTAAAGTATACAAATCAATAGACATCAATATTTAAATCTTTATTTAAGTATACAAAAAAGAACAAAATTATAAAGGAAAATTTTATCGTTATAAAAATCAAATTGACAATTACATCATCTTTCTAAATAAAACAATTCCATCATTTAACATCTTTTGAGATTTTATAATCAGCATTGTAATATTTGAAATTTATATAAAACTTTTAACGAAGTCAAGTATTTGTGGATTGATGTAACAAATATTTAGGCTTTAATTACTAGATGTTTTCATTTGAAAAATAAAATCAGTATTTAAATCATTCGCTTTCTATTAATACTATGCTGTGCTGTCCTTGTATAGCCTGCCCTCTTTCTTCATTCTTCTTAATCCAAAGGAATGTGAAGTGAAGATTTGGTACGCTGTCAGAATTCCAACAATTTTTACCATTCTTTGTACCGTTGTACCGGCATTGTACCGTTCTTTATCTGTAGTAAGGGTCTTGACTCTTTCCTATTCAGGCTCATGAATGTCTATTTTTCCATAGGATCTTCCCTCATCCAATTACGTTTATTTAATTTTCTCTTGCTTGTTTTATCATGTTTTTTATATCATTCCTCTGGAACACATTCTCTTAATGTCTCACGGGTGTATTGGAATTTTTATCATTATAATCATTTTTACAGATTTTTATCTTTTTTATGGGAGAATTCAGATTGTCATTATTTTCTTCAATAAAGATTGTTTGATCGTTATTTATAAGCACTTCTGAACCTTCATTTTGATCCTGTATTGAAAATATCACACTTCCTGTAAATGGTTTTAAAAGATCATTAGATTTATCAATGCTAGAAGTTTGAGTTTCAATTGTTTCAACCGGTTTAGAATTCAACAAATTTAATTTTTCGTCACTCTGTTTTAAATAACTAGCTATGTCAGAATTTTTTACTACTGAACATAAACTATAATTTACATTTTCTTCTATATTCATTGAAGATTGTTCTTCATCAAAATTCGGATTTCTGTATATACTTTGTTCCATCATTTGATAGTATCCTGGAAAACTGAAATTATAGTTTACAAAACCATCTATTATTTCGCTTAGAGAATTCACGTTGAAGGTATTCAACGAATTCCGATCACAATGGCTAATAGAAGGATTATTTAAATTTTCGTTATCATCGTTACATAATGTCAAGAGAGGTTTTTCTAACTCTTCAGATGTCTCTACTCGACCAGTAGAAGTAGAAACCATATTGTCACAATGATTTCTATCCATTTTATCTATAAAATAAAACAAAACAACAATTAAGACAAGGAAAAACTATTTTCTTAATTAAAATTACAATTTACTGTATATTATAAACCAGCGATTCTTAACTTGGGGTGCGTGCACCCCTGGGAGGTACGAGAGAAATTTCAAAAATTTATAAAAAAAAAGTATGAACGAGGCAACTGAGTTCTTTACAAACTGTGGTATCCAGCAACACGTCATCCCCACTCCTTCACTCTCTACTGCAGTGTTTCCCATCGTGGGACTCACGCCCCACAGGGGACAATTGGATTGTTAAGGGGGATAATTAGAAAATGGACTCATCCAGAGTTTAAGTTAACCGTATAACCGCTGTATACGTTAGGGGGGCATAAGAATTTTAGAAAGGCTTAGGTGGGGCATAGCACAAAACAAGAACAAACTTACATACATACATACAAACATTACCTCTTTATAATATTAGTATAGATAACTTATTATGAATATTTTATGAATTATGATTATTATTAAATATGAAAAATTATTATGAATAAACAACAACAACCTAGCCATTAAAATTTAAATATTGCTTTTTATGTTATATAGTAATATATATTGTAAATAAACATGGCATTTGTTTACGCAATAAATGTTTTTCTTAAATAAAAAATTTACACACATTTTTTAAGGGGGTGCAAGACCTTATTTTCAGATTCAAGGGGGTGCTGATCACTAAAAAGGTTAAGAACCGCTGTTATCAACAGACAATAATTCGAGTGAACGTATATAATAATTGTTGATAATTGCTTTTGTAGCGATTGTTATAGCGATATTTGTAGCGATATTGATTAGCTTTTGTAGCCTAAGTATGTATGTAATAAGTGTTTTATAATTTATTATATAATATATAATCTTTGAAAAAAGACATTATAAAAGAAACTTGTTAACTCCTACAAAATATGTTTAATTAATTAAATCATTATATATATTGCATAACACATAAGTATTCTGTAGTGGTCCCACGCCAAACCTCACTCCCTCTTAACACAAGTCCGAGTAATTTGTTGTTTTTTTGCCGTTTTATCATCATAAATATTCGGTTATTAAAATGTACATTTACTGACCTAAGACCATTGTTTTAACCATCATTTCCCAACCCAACCTCACCCAACCTAATCCCCTAAAAGCCTGAACAACACCGGACACACGTGACTAGTATTAAATACATTTTAAACATTTTTACATCTTCATTTTTTATTAAAAAGTTCAAAATTTCGAAAAACATTTTAATAAGATATCTTGATACAGTATTTATTGACTATACATTGGAATTATCTAATTATTTGTTATCCAGTAGTGGCAAGTTAATAAAACTATGGAAAACGGGTTCGGTCTGGCCTGTCGACCACCTGGAGTTTACCAGCTTTTCTTCCCGCTAGTAACACCGACTTTCCCACGAAAGACTTTCCGGAAACCTTCCCCCTCGACAGATCGCCGATGTGTTGCGTTAAATATACAATTAAACCAAAACAAATACTGGGACCATCGTAAAATTAACTATAATACGCGACAATATGAAAAATACTATATTAAAATTTAGCAAATGACAAGAAAATATAATTGCTTTTGCTTACCGCTATTTAATAAGTTATAATTACTGTAAAGATCTCCCTTCAAATGACGATTATACTGTGATGTACTATTCTTAAAATAAGAAAGGCCAAAACTTAAGTCTGCTGCGTTTGGTCGGCCTATAGTAAAAACGTTGTGGCTTTTATTTGTAAACAGCCAATCAGCAGTAAAGGTTCCCTTTCTGAAGCCCCCGCCAGAGAAAATGCTCTCTGGGGGAAAGGCTTAAAACAACGACAACCAAACAACGGACGTTTATCGAAAATACTTGAAGTGATTGATATGATTTTTTGAAGCATTCTACACTAACCGACAAGGATTAAATTCGAATTCTAGAATAAAATCCACACATAATATCCGTAGAACATTTTTCTATCTTTTAAATGATTGATCAATGGATCGACTTGTAACCTGAAGAGGGCCACTAAAGGTGACCGAAATGTCTATGCAGAACTAATTATATTTAAAAAATTAATTTAAGAGATAGAAATCAAAAAGAAATCGATATATTGATACTTAGTGTTTTATAAGTTAGCTTAGAAATGCGTCATTGTTCATCATTACAATAAGATGAATAAATTTTTGTTAAACAAATTGTTCATTAAAATTGATCTCAATGGCGAAGCTATTTCCGGTTATACCTAGTTCCCTGGGAACAGTTTAGAATTTCTAGAATTGCCAGATGGGCCAAAATCGTAGGTGGGCGATTCTGGGAACAGGCCTCTCTGGCATGACAGAGTAGCCAGTGACCTTCCAGACTGGTTAACACGGCGCTAGAAGTATACGACATTCATAATCTTGATCTTGACAAAAATATTGATATTTGTAGAAGAAAAATCAGCAAATGGAACAAAACTGTTAATTATAAAAAGGTAGTATTCAGTAATGTACGTTGTAACTGTTTATATATTGTAATTCATCATAATGTTATATTCAAATTAACTTAATCATGTAATATTGTTTTTTGCTTTAATTGAAGCAGTATTTTATATGGAGTTAAGTTTGGTTTCGCCAGTTTCGAGAATAAAAATTGAAATATGTTCTGGTTTCAGAAAAACAAACAACAAAACGTTTCTTCCTAAATGAAAATTCTTCAGAAATAAAATTAAGTGTTTATTTTTCGAGGTCTCAAATATAAATATTTAATGAGTTAAAATATTATTAATAATCTTCATTTTAATCTACAATTCTCTGAACTGGCAATGAAATAGGTTGTAAATTAGACAATGAAACTTGTATATTACATGTGCTTCACTGAACAACCCAGTAAACCCTGAGGGGGGTAATGGCACCTGGCACTCTTCAAAGAATTATTAGAAAGTTTCCAAAATTCTTTTTCTGATTAATATTTTTTTATTTATATTTTGTTGTCTTCTATTTCTATACTGATTATTAATTAGCGGTTACATAAGGTGAAAATTTTATTGAATTCCCATTAAAAAGTTTTTGTATCCGTTTAACTTGTCTCCTCCAAGATTAAATCCCGAGTCTGCCAATGTTATTGTAGATATTTTTCTGAAATTTTTATGTGTATTCATGCTGTGATTAATAAAATTTTTAGTTTGGTAATGTGCTTTTTCTTCTTATAGGCAACTTGCACGTGATGTATTGTATTCCCGGATATATGTGGGGACATGTGCATGTTGCCAGGCATCTTATTTGTGACGTTTCTGTTTTGTTATAATATCACCCGATACATGACAGAGTAACCAAACACTAAATGGAAGAAAGTGTAAACTTTGAGTTGTTCACTTAATGAAGAGATATGGTGTAAATAAATTTTAACACAGAATAAAACAAATTCGACAATTATAAAGAAAAAAAATACCACACCGCTTAGAAATGATGCTTTGCAATGATCAATAAAACTATCATAAAATGTACAGTTTTAGTCAGTACAACGATACAATGACTCAGTGTTATACAGCAGTTTGCTTTAATGTACTTAAATTTCTGTTGCTGAAAAGATATGTTCTCAAAAACTCTTTACTAATCTTTGAATCGAGCCTGCCACTTGCTGCAAAATTGAGTTTCAAGTGATTTGTACACTTTTGTGTGATTAGTTAACAATTAGGTTATTAAGACAAGGTGTCACCCTATTCTATCTTCGGCCATAAATTACGATCCTCTAAAATTCGAGTCATCATCGTACAGAGCAACTCCATTATACATTTCAGTTTTACTTTCGTATCAGTCCGCATCTTGACTAATGAGAATTGTTAAATAATCTTGTAAAAATTCAAGCAACAAGTTACTTAAAATTACCCAATTATCACAGTTTAAAGTATTTAATGTATTGATTATAAAGTTTATGTATAGATAGATACATATTTTTAATGTCTAGGCTTAACATTCTACTGTTAGTATTAATATTGAATTTTTTTAAAGTTACTAATGAATTGGTCTGTATTTTTAAATGCTATAATCAGAATTGTGATATTTATTTAATTTATTCTTAAGGAATTTTTCAAGGTTGTATAAGACGTAAAATTTAATATCTAGTAATGGCGTGTATGATTCTTGCAATTTATGTGTTTTAACTTTAATATTGAGTTTAGGGATAATCAATTTAAAGTCTAAAATCGTGAAAGTGACAGTTAATAGAAATATAAATATTAACGACATTTACGAATAAATAATGTTCAAAACCGAATTAAAATAGTATTTATAAAAGACAAAAGAAATATCTGAGTTAAAAACGAGAACATTTCATATATTAAAAGAATTTCGAATGTTTACGGCTGACTCTCCCTACGCTCCATCCAAACTTAGGACTATACGTGATCGAAGCGCTCGAAGTGGCAGAAATATTAAACCAGTATAGTAGCATTACAGCTATTGGCAGCGCAAGGATCAGTATATCTATGGACTTTGGTTATACAGTACTTAAAAATAAAAAAATAGGTTTTTTTATTGTGAGTAGAAAATAAATACTTTTTTTTATCAGAAAGTAGACATGTACTGTAATGTACATGATATATTATTAAAGTAATACAGTAATCACATGTGGCATATCCAAAAGTAATAAGTTTGATGTCGATATTAATTGCAAAAATAATATATAAAAGTAAGAATAATAAATAATAAAACATACCAACATTAATAATATTATGTTACAAAAGATACATTGTATCTGATACAATACTGCAGTGATAAATAAAAATGTAAATGTTCGTTTGTTCAAAATGATAAATCTCCAAAAATTCTTAATCGATTGCTTTTAAATTTTGACACAACGTTGCATTCGAATAAGTGCGTGTTTTTATATTATATAGATGTCGAAATTCCTCCCCCAAGGTGGAGAGGGACAAAATTAAGGTTTACCGTGAAGAACTCGGCTTCTATTATAATATTTTAGATGCGGGTTTTTGCGTTTTTGATTGCGTTTTAATTAATAGGTGTACGTCAAGAGAATGTATACTAAGAAGGGATTTTTCGAAATTCTCTCCTGCGGGGAGTCTTATACATTTATAATAGATACATTTTGAGCTACAGCAACGCGTGGCCGGGTACAGCTAGTATACGAGTAATACACGTATACAGTAATATAAACGTAGAAATTTGAAAACTAACATCAGTATGGTAACATATAATAATAAACTATATGAAAATGATTGAGAAAAATTATTTAAAAATAAATATTACATTATTTTTTATTTATCGCCTTAAAACGTATTTTTGGTTGCTCCTAGCTACTTATAAAAGTTTTTTATTTTTTATTATTTCTTCGTAAAAATTTTTTTACATTCAATTTTTATGTTACTGCAAATTAGTAGTATAGTTTTAACATTTTCCGGTGTTAATCTGTTTTTTTTTTTTTTTTACACCGTAAGTTATTCATTGAAGAGAAACATCTTTCAACGTACGCAGTAGAAGTTGGAGTGCTAAATATAAATTCAATTATCTTCTGAACGTTTGGAAATTTTCTTTTTTTTTTTTTTTTAATATAAATGCCCATAACTATGAATTATTTTTTGTTTTTAACTTGTCCATCAAATTTCCTACTCTTTCCTTTATTGTGAAAAATTCATTTTAAAAATCCGAAAACCGAACAAATTAATAATTAATCCGGAACATGAATTTAAAAACCGACTTGTTCGGGTGGAAACCGGCCTGGTGGTAACACTAATTTTGGTCCCAGATCAACCGCTTCGATTGGTTATTTTCCTCATCCCCATTTTCTATTTCGTCGTCACTCGTTACTAAGTGTAACGAGATCTGAACTCAGATCGTGGGATGAGTCAAAATCGACATTTAATTTGATTCCAACCAGAGATAGTTGATCTTAAAACTTACATTGTCTAATTTTCCTTTGTTCAATTTCCGAGAAAAGTTTTTCCTCTATTAAATTTAACATTTCTTTTTATGGACATAAAAATTTATACTTTAATATAATCAAATTTAGATATTTTTAAATTTTAGTGTGGTTCCGGATATTTCCGGAGCCTCACATTGTTGTAGCGATCCAAACAGCGATTGATTAAATCGTGACTGAATAGGGCAGGGGTGGAAAACCTTTTTCTATGTAAGGGCCACATTTAAAACTTTTGAACTGACGCGGGCCGTACGAGAAAAAAGAAATTAGAAAAAAATACGCTGGTAAATCATAGTTATTTATTCGTATATGATTATAAATTAACGTAAGTATGCTTAATTTGATTTCTGTCACTGATGTGAACGTAATATATACAAAATATTTGGTTGAATATTTTTAGTTTTCATGTGAGTCTTTTTTTTAACTCTTTCCGCCGTGTGGGCACTAAGAGGGCCTCTTTTAGCAAGCCCATTATGGGTTTGGCCAGACCCACAATCAACAAACAGACCATCCCCCGAAAAATTCCTGGGATTTTTCGATCCGTTCGTATACAATCCCGGAACCCCCCAGAGCGGTAGGCTGCCACCTTGACCGCTCGGCCATCCGGCCGCTCTGAGAGACTCAGAAACGAATCCGGACGGCTCGACAAATTCCAAGAATTTTTCATGGCTGATCCGTTTCAGATATTTCTGACCTTCACTACTCGGCCAAACCTATTATGTGCTTGAAAAAAGATCCTTTAAGTGTCTGCAGGGCAAAAAGAGTAAATAGATTAAAATATAATTTATGTACAAAAATAAACAATAGCCACATTAAAGACAAAATATTTATAAATTAATTTTTACAAGAGTTTACAATTTATCTTTCCACATTTCTAAAAGTATCTTGAAAATGTCGCTAAATAGTTTAATTATCAAGTTGGCAACTACTTTAACAAGAAAATAAAATTTTGCAGACGATTCTCTTATTGTTTAAACAATGTTATAAATTAAAATAGGTAAAATTTTTGTACTTTATTACTTTAATGATAGTGCATTAATTGAATATAAATTTGAATGTGTATGAAGACAATACATACGAGTTTTTAATAGCGAAGTACTAGATTGATCCAATCGAAACAACTTATGTATCTAAATAGAAAAATGATTTTATTCGTATTTACATAACAATTTTTGATCGTGGAAGTAAAAAGACTGATCTATTTTCGTTATTTTTAATCGTCGATTAAATTAACAATGGAGTCGTTTTGATTTCGCATCTAACAAATGAAGAGCAAGATCTTGGATTTTGATATTCAGATGATTAGATATTGAATCAGCTGATATGGGCGGTGCCTTATGAGTTCGTTGTACCTAAAATATATCGATACAGTATAAGAGCAGTGTTTTTAGATCTGTTGGGAAAAATCCAAATTAATTTAAAGATCTCATTCAATATGTGGTGTGAATTGAAAGAGAAAACAACATTGTGGAATTTTGACTTTTTATTCTTCAAGCGATTTGCAAAACTAATTCCCTTTTACTTTGGAAATCCTTGCTCATTAATTATTTTTATATTTTTAATAGTTACAGCTTTAGGTGAACAATATGTTGTTTATAATGTTGGAATTATAACTAGTGAATATTATAAAGTATTGGGAGAAAAGGATTTAAATGGCTTTTGGACTCATTCTGTCAAATCTCTTGCAATCATAATATGTGTTTCCTTAATTATTAGCACAAAAGACTACTTAATTTCTGTATTATATGTTATATGGAGGCAGCTCTTAACACAACATTTACAAAAGGAATATATGCATTCTAATAATTACTATAAACTAAATGTCTTAGATAAAGCAATTGATAACCCTGATCAGAGAATAACTCAAGATATTGATAAAATGTGTAACAAATTAAGTACTAATATTGCAGTTGTGATTGTATCACCTTTCACTATTTGTTATTACAGTTATGTATTGTTTGTTACAACTGGATGGTGGGGACCAACTAGTGTGTTTGGATTTTTTCTTTTAAGTACACTTATAAATAAATTGTTAATGTCACCAGTTGTTAATTATGTTTTTATGCAAGAACAATGTGAAGGATTTTTTCGATTTAAACATATGCATATTCGTACAAATGCAGAATCGATAGCATTTCAAGATGGATCATTTAATGAGTTAACACAGTTGAGTGAAAAATTCACTAAATTAGTTAAAGTGCAACAAAATTTATTTGCTCGTCAATTTCCCCTTAGTCTTTCTGTTAAACTATTTGCATATTTAGGAAGTATTTTTAGTTTTCTTCTTCTTGCAGTACCTTTGTTTAATGGAAAATATGATTCTTTATCTGTTGCTGATTTGAGTGCCTTGATTAGTAAAAATACTTTTGTTACAATGTATTTAATTAATTGTTTCACACAATTAGTGAATTTATCTACTGATGTAACAGTTATTGCAGGTACTACTCATCGAATTTCAGAATTTTTAGAATGGATAAAAATCAACAACACTTTTGAAGCAGGTAACATATA